CGTCAAGCGTCAATTCCTCATTCCTTTCATCTGATTCATCCATCCCGCCCGCACCGTCAGTGCAGAAGTAGTTATTGCCTCTGTTGACCATCACAATGTCATGCGCGTCATCCCTCTGCACCAAACACTCTGCACACAAACAACACAGAAGGAATCAATCAAACAGGCGGATCCTGGCTGTTTGAGTCACATCACCACCTAGGAGGCCTCTTCCGACAAAGCTCGAGCCGCCATCGAATCAGAGGGAGGCAAACCTCGCATTGTGCGAGCCGAGATGGCGTTACATCCCCGGTCGGTGCCCGTGGACAGATCTTCTGCTTTGCTTCACGACAATTGATTCACAGTGAGTGACAGCGTCTGGGAAGCGCCGGTTCATCGTGCACCTTTTGTGTCCATGTGGTGTCTGTTTTGGCTTTGACTGATGCAGATAGATAGCCGCCTGAGCGCTCATGTCCACGGAAACCAACTCCGAGGAGCTCTTCGCCGACAGCCCGACGGCAGACAGCAACAGCCCCGACAACAGAGGAGATCCCAGCCAGCAGGAGCAACCACAGCAGCAGCACGTGTATATGAGTGGCAACCCGGCAGAGGAGGGATCTGGTGGGAGTGTGAGGCCTGGCGATGAGTCGTATGGGAGCGGCCCTGGTGACCGCACAGAGATTGCGTCGTCTGCCCCGCTACCAGCATCTCCCCACAGAGAGCGCAAACCTGCGACTGACAGCAACAAAGCTGACTCTCAACAACTGCTGGAGAAACTGCCCTCGGGCTCCCCACCCCCCGTCGGCATCCAGCGTCCGCCGATCCCTAGTGAGGCCATCGACACACAGCAGAATCAGCAGCAACCGCAGCCATCCGTCCAGCGAGATCAGTCCATGCTCATTCCCATCCCCTCACCAGCAGCCGACACATCAGTTGTGGGCGGCGTCCCCGTACAGCAGATGGAAGGGGGCTCGACGCTGGTGGGAGGGGCGGGGCACGGCGGTGGGTCCGGAGAGGGTGACATCACTGTGGACGCCACATCGGTACGGACACACACACACATGCACAGACAGACAGACAGACAGGCAGACACGAGGGAGGTGCATGCCCACATGTGTGCATATGTGTGTGATGTGTGGCTGTGATTGTCAGGACGGCAGCCGTCAGCCCTCCACTGCTTTCGACATGTCCGTATGCGCCCAGCAGCAGCAGGCCGTCGTCCACCCCACCAGCTCCATGATCGACCCATCGCTAGTGGCCGCAGCAGCGGCATCAGCAGATCGGCAGCCAGCGAGTCCCTCTCGCCCATCCCCTTTCTCCACCCCCTCCCCGATCACACCCGACCAACAAGACACGGCCAACGTGCGGCAGGGCCAGAAGTCGGCCTCTGATGCTGCTGCGGTTATATCCCTCGCTGCTGATGCTCTGCTGGCTGGTGACATCGGACTCTTCGTAAGCCATGTGGAGAAACTCGCATCAATGCCCCGCCTGCCCGACGACGATCCATCAGTCAAGCGACTGGTGGGCTTGCTGGCCAAGACGGACGAGGCGCATCGACAGCAGGGTCAGGGAGGCCTCGCCGGCTGTATTGTTGCCATTTTCAATGACGGCAGCAACCAATCACATCAGTCTGCGGCAGCCTCTTTCCTCAAACGGCTTTGTAAGGCTGGGTATCCCTTTGGTGTGGAGTGGCTGCCGCTGTTTGGTGTCTTGGTGGACGCAGTGTTGGGGAGGCGGACACTACCAGACCATGTCTGGGTGGCCGCTGTGTTGCTCAGCAAGAGCATTCCAGGTGATCATGTGGTGAACCGGCAAATGTGGCTGTCATCTTTCCACGTATCTGTGTGCCTTTGGTGCATCGCTCAGAGACGGCTGAGGTTCTGAGCGCGTTTCAGCAGCACATCTTCTGCCACGTCGATGCGCTCGTCGAGACACTGGTCACCAGCAGTGATCAGGTGATTGTGTGGAGGACATACAAGCTGATAGGCATCATCTTCAGAGACGCCCGCCGCTTCCCCTCTGAGCTAGGTGGGGGGACACGTGGATGCTAAGAGGGCTCGTCGATTCGTCACGCCGCTGTATGAGCGTGTGTGGGTGTGTGTGGATCCAGGTGTGCTGGTGCCCATATGCCGTAGTGTGTCAGCGAGCCCCGCTGCCATGGGCAAGATGGCCAAACTGAATCTCTATCTGAGTGTGCCAATACCAATGGCTGGTGAGTAATGGTGCATGGTCCACGCCGCTTATTGATGTCTTGTGTGCGTCTGTGTTCCCTCAGAATGTGGCTACTGCGAGCGTGTTGCGCAGGCGGGCTTCCTTTCGGCGGCTATGAGCATCCTGCAGAGCGACAGACTGATCAAGGATGCAGGCCATGAACGATCTCTCTACCTGTCTGTCGTATCGAAATTCATCTATCTGATTAATCTGTGTATCGATAGAGAGACGGTCAGTCAGCCAACACATCAATGTGTGCGACATGTTTGTCTGGAAACTCAGTACTCCTGTCTACATTTGTCTTCAGTATGCTTCGTGTGAGGGCCTGGCTGAGCTCATGTGGTCCCAGCTGTCGGAGTTCGTGGCACGAGACACCGCACGTCTCGCATCCGCCGCCCCCGATGGCAGCACCGTCAGCATCGTGATGGGCGTTCTGGACAGCCTCGCCAGGTGCGTCTGTCCGTCTTGTCTTGAGCGCCTCGAGCGAATTGTCTTCATTTGTGCAGTTATTGGGATCGGCAGGTGACGAGCGGCAAGAGCAAAGACAATCCGATCGTCGAACGGATTCTGCAGGTCCGTAAGGTCAAACGATCACCAAATCCGCGGTCACCTGTGTTCGTCTGCTTGTGTGTGACGCCCTTCGTGTGCAGGTGGACATCTCTGCCCTTTCCGGGCCCCCCACGGCGGCCTCACAAAACAGCCTCATACAGATGGTAAATGAAGTACCAACAACACGCAGCCCACAGGTCTGTGCACCTGCACTCACGGCTGCAGGTTTTTGATTTCTTCGCCAAGTACCGCCGCCGCAAGGTCTGCTATACTGTACTCCCATGTGGACCGATCGATCACCGCTTGCCACTGTGTGTGTGTGTGTGTGTGTGATCTATGTAGGAGGCGATCGATCGGTGGGTCTCATCGCAGCACGACCCCCACAGAGAGGCTGCACGACAGGAGAACAAGCAGGTGGGTAGAGAGAGCGACCACGTGTGACCGACCCCTTACGTCTGTGCTGTGTGTCCATCAGAATCGGCTGGTGCGGTGTTTGTCGGACAAGAGAGTCCTCCACACCATCTACCAGCTTGTTGGGCCGTTGCATTTCACTGCCGCACACATCGCTATGCTGGCGCTCTCATGTCGAAGTCTGCTAGACGCGTAAACAGTCATTCACACACAGACAGACCCATCTGCACTCCATGGCCACTTCGTGCTGCCTGGGTTTAGGCTGTGTCCCGTCTGTTCGACTGACCGCATCTCATCGTATGCCAATCGCGAGCTGCTGGCGCCATTTGCATCGATCTCAGTGAGCAAGCAGAATCGGCTGGTGGCGGCATTGGCCAGGTAGGTTGATGTAAAGAGATGACGGGCAGCAATTCACTCATGTTCACGGCTTCACTCTTGCTGTCAGGTATTCACCCGACACGATGTTGGAGCTGTCGATCCGCTGCGAGTGCTCACCGACCGCCGATGACATCAGCGACCTCATCGACTTCCTTCAGAGGGCCGACAGACTCATGACGCTCCAACTGATGTGTAAGGTGGTCGAAAGAGAACGCGGACTTGCCGCTGACTGTCAAGGTGTGTGTGCCGCAGGTTTGGATTTGACTCAGTTGCCTGATGACGAGTGCGCCCAACTTGCCGACGCCATCGGCCGCGTGCCCTCACTTGCCACTCTCCACCTGGAAGACGAAGACCTGAGCCGTGCCTTCATCGACCGGTTGAGTGCTCTGCTCAAGGCCCAGCCAGAAGAAGACGGCAAGGGCGACAGCAGCAGCGAGAGTGCCTCTTCGCCGCCGCCATCATCGCGTGACGTCACCCGCACCCACAGCACATCATCCGCTGCCGTGCCGGCTGGCTCAAAGGAGGAGAGACACGCGACGACCGAGGCGGGGCAGACGGCCGACACGGGGGACGACAAGAAAGAAAGGCCCTTCACGACACTCAGGTATGGGCGCAGGACAGGGAATGAGACAACAAAGCATTTACTGAGGCCGTTGGGTGTGTGCAGAAGGATGACAATCTCTCTATGTCGTATGTCGTTCACTTCTTCTCTGAACTTGCTCGAGGTGCGTCGAGGAAAAAAAAAAAAACAGATTCCATCTTATTGATTAGGGCCTGTGTGTGTCGTATCGCCTGCAGGGCCTCTATGGTAGGTCTCTCGAGTCTCTGAATCTGTCCAATATGGTCTTGACCAAGTCTGAGGGCGAAACTGATTGATACGACGAACTGCAGGTCTGGAAAGCACTAACCACACTTAGACAGCCTTGCTGATACCCTCCCCTGTTGGCATCTCACTTGTCCGCAGGGTTCGATGGAGCGACTCTTCGGCACCATCGCGTGCAAGTGGCTCTCTCTGTCTTTCTGCTCGGTTGCCGGGCTGTCACTGCCCGTCGTTAAGGATACAGTCATGTCCGCCGCGACGGCTGGCCTGAAGACCAACCCCAATCGACGCACTCTCAAGTAGGCTACATACCCCCGTGTGTCTGCGAGTGTGTATGTCGCTGACTGCATCCCTTCAGGCAACTCTATCTGCTTGCCACCGCAAACGCCATTGAGCCCTTCCTCCGATTCGCATTGAAGGACCTCACACTCGAGCGCCTCTGTCTCTCATGTACGTGAAGCCACCAAGCAAGCGTCGCGTACATGAATCTGCTCCATGTGCTCATTCGGCAGCATCTGAGCCGCTGAGCAAGCTCATCAGCCAGCAGTTCCTGTCGAGTGGCGACTTTGCGTCATTGGTGCATGGCGCCGTCACCAGGGCCCACGATGAGCGTGAGAGTGAGCTCCGAGCCGCACGTAGTGTCAAGGACCGTCAGTGGGCGGCGGATGACGCCCGCCTGCCCCCGGCGGCTGACGCAGCTGAGGGGGACCGACGGAGGGCGGCACGGGAGAGGAGGGAGGAGGGGCTGCAGGCCGAGGAAAAGGAGCTCAGGAGCAGCCCACCATTCCTGCTGGACCTCAGAGGTAAGTATATGCAAGAGGCAGGGGGGATATCCGTGCAGTTATGTTGTGTTGTTCTGCCTGTGACTCCCGTTTAGACGTTCCTCTTGCCGATGCCAGCACATCTCGCATGTCGTTTCCTGACAAGCATCTTCAGGTGATCGAGGATATGAACAAGCAATACAAGTTCCGGCGTTCGGTGATCGACACATGTAAGCAGCCGAAGCACCTTTCCCCTCACCACCTCTGTGTGTGTGGTCCCCTTTTTCTGCGTTCCGTCGGTCGACAGTTCCGGCGCGTCTGTCAGCCCTGGATTCCGTCGGTTGGCCGCTGACACCTATCCGCCGGAGCCTGTGCCGTGCCCTTGTGCTGTCCTACGACCCAATCAGCCCTCTCGTATGGGCGCAGACAGTCGCCAGCAAGGGGCCTTCATTGCTGCTGCTGTATTTCGAAAGCCTATCACACAAGAATCGCGGCGCCGATTCGGCATTTGGCTTCCGAAACCCCTTCTCTGTGACGGTGGCTGACCTGGCTATGTACCGCGACTGCGTGAGGGAGCTCGAGGCTCTCAAGGACGTTCCTGCCATCAACAACATCACTCAAGAGGATGTCGACGCAGCGCGCACCGCCCTCACTGGTAAGTGAGCTGAGAAGGGGGAAATGGCACCATCACGCACATGTGTCATCTCCTTCGTTGTGTTGTGGTTAGAGGCCGTCAGGCTGGGCCAGGAGAAGGGGACTGTGCATCTAGCGGTACACGAGATCATACGCTGCGGATCGTCTGTTGCCGACTACTGTGCGCTTATCATTCAGGCTTTGTTTGAGAAGCAGAAGCGGCTCCAGGTGATCGAGAACCTGCTGGCGACGCTGCAGACCAAGCTCGACGACCTCGAGGCCCAGGTGCAGACGGACAAGGCCGCTCTGTCCAAGGCCGGCAGGAAGGGCATCGACACGAACAGCCTTGACAACAGGATCGCCACCCTCGCCGAGCAAATCAACAAGAACACCGCGGCAAGGGCAGAAGTGCTCAGAGAGATCGGTACGAAGTGCAGCACCAGACGCACACAAAACTCCCATATATTCAGCTCCGCCTTTGGATCAGACGAACTTCAGAGGATGGTTACCGGCGAGCGTCCTGCGGTCGAGGACCAGCCCAAGAGCCGCTGTGACGTCGTGCGCGAGGAGCTGCGTGAGAAGCTCGAGAGCAGAAAGAAGCTCAAGGCCAAGAAGGAGCGGCGCATGAAGCGCCAAGCCGACAAGGAGCCCGACGAGGCCGTCAGTGCTAAGATGGCCGCTGAGGAGGCGGCGGCGCGCAGGAACGAGAAGGACCTTCTGCGGTCCATCGGCGAGCAGGTGTCCGACGAGAGTGAGGACCAGCAGCGGCAGGGCGAAGGTGGGCAGCAGCAGCATGGCGAGGGCGGCAAGAAGGCCAAGAAGAAAAAACGACCCAAGACCAAAAGACCCCCGGCCGCCCCTGTTGCAGCGTCTGGCCCTCCCCCATTGGCCGCAGCAGTGCCATCCATTGCGGCAGACGGCAGCCCATCTGTGCGTGATGGAGAGGGAGAGGTAGATGGTGGTCTCGAGTACTTGGACAGTGAGCCGTCGAGCAGCCCCCTCTATGGCCCAGCTGTCGCAGCTGGTGGTGCTGCGGCCACGAGTGCTGCCCAGGAGTCACTGCAGCATCTGTCGGTGGCTCCTTGCATGCCCCCGCTGCCCGACATCGGGTGTGACTCTGACGACCTGCTGTCTGTTGGTGCTGTGAGTGAGGATGGTGGCGGTGGGGATGGCCTGGCTGGCGAGGGTGCTGGAGAGACCGATGGAAGGGCGGGGAACCGTGACGATGGGTGTGTGAGTGGTGGAGAGGAGACCGAGGCGATGCGGGCCAGGTGAGGCGGTTGATGGGGTGTGGTCACACAGTGATGGTGTGTCTGGTCTTGTCAGGGTTGCGGTGCTCGAGGCTGAGTTGATGCGCAGAGACTGGCAGATCGAGGCGACGAGGTGAGAGAAAAAGAGCGAAGGGGGGAGGGACTCACCACCGTGGTTGTGGTGCCTGACTACAGGCGTGAGTCGATGGAGATGGAGGCGGCGTTTCAGCAGCAGCTTCATGCTGCCCAGCAGGAGACCCTCGCCGCCCGTCAGGAGATCGAACGGTACAGCATGCATCACCATATCACCGCATCGAGTACGGTTGGCAGCTGTCCATCCTTGTGCTCTTATGTTTGTGCAGGTTCCGTGAGGCTCAGATGGCGGGCGAGCAGACCGTTGCCGCCACTCTGGCGGCCAACGAGCGGCTCCAGGCCGATATGCGTCAAGCCAATGAGGCCCACCGCCAGCAGCTCAGTCAACAGCACCAGCGGCTCACCAGGTATCCACATACACAGGGCCTACGCAGCGCCTCACCGTCTGTGTGTGTCCGTGTGTTCAGTGACATCGATCGCGAGAGGTCTCTCCGGCAGCAGCAGGCGGCCGAGATGGGGCAGCTGCAACATCACCTTGACAGACACAAGAGGTCAGTCAGCCAAACAGCACTCTCACCCATCACAATACAATGAATCGGACTCACTCGTTACCTATCAGGGCTGCTGCCGAGAGGGAGGAGTCGCTCAGACAGGAGGTCACATCGCTCAGAGAGGAGAATGCCAGGTGCACACACGACAGGCGGCCGACGCACACTTTGACAAGACGCCATGATGTTCATCTCTCTTTGTGTCTGTCAGTGTTGGCGAGGCCAATCGTGGGCTGCAGGCCGACATAGATCAGCTGCGGAGCAGCCAAATCGACAGGTCAGCACCCACTCAGACAGAGGCGGGCGACACCAGTGTATGCCCTTTCATGTGGTGATGTGTGTCATTCAGGTTGACCGAGAGATTTGGCCAACTGACCACTGCTGATGAGTTCAGTGGCTTTGCCATGCAGCTGGCGGACCGCCAGACGGCACTCACTACATCAGAGCTGCCCCAGCTGCAGTCACTCGAGCGGCGGGCTCAGCAGGCCGCCCAGCAGAGGCGGGAGACCGAGCTGCGGCAAGAGATGCAGCAGGAGATGCAGCGCCAGATGGAGGAGCGTACCGACTGCCAAATCTGCCAGGAGAGGGAGAGGTCAGTGGTGCTGCGGCCGTGCAACCACTTCTGCATCTGCCTGCAATGCGCACAGACCATGCAGCCTCGCCAGTGCCCCCTGTGTCGGCAGGCCTTCACCGGCTGGAACCCTGCCATATTCTCGTGACGACAGATCGACCCACTGTGGGTGCTGGTGGTGGGGCTGTGGTGCGGTCGAATGCGTGTGCTGACGGCCGGCAGGATATCATGGCAGAGAGACGGCAGGGGGAGGGGGCCAGTTCAAGAGTTTTGTTGCTGTGTGTCCGTGTCCCTCAGAGGCAGCCTTTATGGCCTTTTGACCCCTCGATGCATTGCATTGTGTACGTTTCCTTCTCTATGTCGACTAGCTGCCTCGCTGTCTGAGTGCGTGTGCCACCGACCGACGCTATCATGGGGAGGGGGTGACCAGTGCGTCTGCGAATTTTGTTGTAATGTGTGTGTGCCATGAAGAAGAGAGGGCTTTTATGTATCCATCGCTGCTTTGCTGCCTAGTTATGGAGGGACCACGTGTCTGCTGTTGGTGCGTACTGTATCGATGTGTACATACATACATACATACATTGGACCAATCGTATGATCCTTCATATGCATATGGGCGTCTCTGTGTCGGTGAATGCACCATCAGTGGCTGTCGTTTTTCCGCATGTGTATGTACATATACGTACGATGGTCGAGACACATGCGTAATATTACATAGCCATTCATTCCTCCACCTGACTTCTTCGGGCTGCCTGGCTTCGGTGCCTGGTGCGTCTGAATGCATGTGAGCAGAGACCTCTACACAGATAGAAGCTGAGCATCGCGCGCTGTGATGCTACATATATGTGATATATGGGTCATGAAGGCGAGCTTAGGGCTTTTCTGTATCCCATCGCTTTTGTGGCCTCACATGACCCAATTGCGCCAGTGATGATTGTCGCAGTACGCCTGCGGCAAACAAATGTCTGTCAAGGTGACGAATGATTGATGTGATGCGTGTTTTGACGAACGACCGACACCACCTCTGATTGTGTTTGTACGTCTGCCTGGCTGCCTGCTACAAAATCATCTACAACTTCTCAACTCTCACTCTACCTACACTCACATCACCATCATCATTCCTACGACTCAACCGATATCTCCAGACTGACCAATTGGCACTAAAAACCCCAATCCACTCGATCAAAACCCCAATCCACCCTAAACCCCAATCCACTCGATCAAATCATGCATCATGCAGAAGAGTGCATAACAAACCACTCTCACACACACAAACTTTCTCTCACGCAAACTTTCTCTTCCGTACTGTACGGCAAATATTCTCTCGTCTCAATTTCGCGACGCACACGCGCATGTCTGTTTGTTTCGATTTCTGAATTGAGAAACTGCCTACACGTCACCCTCAAGTAGGTAGGTACCAAAAAAAACACACACCCACAGTCACCCACACCCTCACGTACACAGCTGCAAAAAGAGGCCTTGCGCACACGCCAGATAAACGTGTGCATGGCGTACACACCATACCCACCCTCATTCGCTCACATACGTACATCTACACACACATCACACATCTCACACACACATCAGCACTCACTGCGAAAAGATAGATGCCTTGAGGGGCGGCAAAAAGACGCACGCACAGTCACGGCGACCCATATGTGTGTCTCTCTGTACGCATGTCTGTCTGTCTGTGTCGGTCTGTTTCCATATGTCTATCCATCTCGCTACCTAAAGTTCTGCTCCCTCTGGGGGCTTGAGCGGACCGACCCCGCCGGGCTCCTACACACAGCCATTCATTCACACAGACACACAGCGTGGATGGATGGATGGATACGTGTGTGTGTTTTTGTGAGTACCAGCAGGCTGTTGTTTTTGGCCATCGCTTCGCCGGCCGCACGGAGTGAGTCACTGCAGTCCCAACGCGGCATGTGGACCTCGATGAAGCACAGGTCGTTGGCCGTCTTGGTCTACAGACACACACATGCGCAGAGGGGTGAATGTGGATGCATCAAGGCGTTCATGTAGGCGTGTATGTGTGTGTGCGTGTATGTACCTTTGCGAGTGCGTCTTCCAGCTGTCCCTCTGTCCAGCAGTCGGCCGCAAACCCGCCACCGAACACCTATGATGTGTGCACAGACAGACACATGTGGGTGGGTGGGTGGGTGGGTGGGTGCGGTTGACATGTGGCTCATGTACTTCGCAGAGTTTGTAGTACTTCCATGGCTGGATGTCGTTGTAGGCATGGTCAACGATCACCTGCATATACAAACACACGTGTACATGGTACACACACCCCCATCCATCCATCCATCCATCCATCTCCCCTGCGCTAACCCGTTCGATGGTGTATCCGTCGTTGTTGACGAGGAAGATAATGACGTTCTTGCACCCGTAGCGAAGCATCGTGGACACATCCTACACACACGGATGCCACACACACACGCGAATATGCAGTTGTGCATGTGTTGGTGCGGGGGTGTGTGTGGTACCTGTACGGTGACTTGGAAGGAGCCGTCGCCGATAAACAGCACCACCTGTATGTGTGCCATTCATCACACACACATGGATGGATGGATGGATGGACGACACACGTACCGTCTTGTCAGGTGCAGCCAAAGCCAGTCCGAGTGTCGCTCCGACAGTGTACCTACACGAGGGGGAGAGATAAACACACTGTGCTGTGGACACACGTGTGTATCTCTGCCCACCCACCCGATGGATCCGTAGAAGGTCTGTCCGACAAATCGGCCGCCCTTTGGCATCAGCGTCTCGGCAGCAGAGAACAAAGACGCACCTGAACACACAATCGACACTTATATGGTGCATTCACCCACAAGGGGCATCTGCCTGTCTGCCCGTCAAGAAGAAATGACTTAATGACTGACCTGTCTCCGCGATGACGATGGTTCCCTCCGGGAGGAATGACGACATGCGGTCAAAGAAGCGCCCCATACGGATCTCCTTGTCGGGCTTCGGCTCAAACTTCTGCACTCAGCCAACCAAGATGTGACAGACACGCACAAGACGAATGCATGGGCGCTGGATGCGTGGGTGTGTGAGTGTGTGCACTCACTCACCGTGGCTCGTGTGTGTGTGCATCCGAGCGATGCGGGGTGTATGTCCAAATCCTTGGCGTCTCGCGTGACGAGATGCATCGTGAGGGCGTCCATGTAGTCCCACAGGTACACATCTGCACACAGACAGACAGACACAGATCGGAATGCTTGGAGGTGGTGAGTATAGGTGTGAGTGTGGGCATACCGGGGTAAACGTGGTGGCTGATCTGGACCTCATTCACCGCTGCACACGCACACGCACACACACACACACACACAGACGGACACAGACGGACACACATATAGCAGGTGTGCGCATCTCTCTCTCTCTCTCTCTCTGTGTGTGTACATGCGTTGATGGTGACGAACTCGTTGAGGCTGGCCGTGAAGCCGCCCGTGTTGAAATCAGTCATCTGCACACGCATTCAAGACAACACAACACAACACAAGAACACGTGAGTGGATGTCTATCCCCGCTGTCTGTCTGTCTGTCTGTCTGGGTATCGACAGACCTTCTCGCCAAACACGATGATGCAGTCTGACTTCTCAACGCGATCTTTCACGTACGGGCGGCTCTTGGCCCCTGAATACACACCCATTCATCCGCCAATCCACCGATCCACCCATCATTCCATGTGTGGTTGGTCTGGGTGTGTGTGCAGGTGCATGCGTGCCTTGGTAGAGTCCGATGAACTGCGGGTGGTCCTCGTCGAGCACCGTCTTGGCGAGCATCATGGTAGAGTAGGGAAAGCCGCTCTTCTCAAGCAACGTGCGGAACTTGTCACGAAGGCCGTATCTGCACACACGCACACACACACACATATGGACGATTGTATGAGAGCACCGAGGCACCCGTACCTGCAGATTTCGATGCCAGGGAGGAGGATGGGCTTCTTGCTGCGCTGCAGGATCGTCAAACTCTCCACAACAGCCTCCTGATCGATAGACGGATGGACGAATGACACGCACACACAGACGAAGCCGTGCCCACCCACAGACAGCCATGCAGACATCCCCTGTGTGTCAGCAGTCACTGACCTGCACAGCCGTAGGGTCTGACTTCTGCAGGGGCGGGATGGTGTAAGGGATGTATGTCTGCTTGATGGGCTTCTTGATCACGTCGGCCGGCAGAGCTATGTAGACGGGCTTCTTGCGGGTCAGACACGCAGACAACACCTAACCACACACACACACACACACATACATACGATTGCCATCCATCCATTGATGTGCCTCCCTGCAGACAGACACACAGCCCACTCACCCTGTCGATTTCGGCAGCGGCGGTCTCCTCGTTCATCAGCACCGTATGGGCCACGGTGATCTTCTCAAACATACTGCAGCCACACACACAGGCACATGCCACCCACACACATCATTGTATGCGTGTGTGTGACGTACCGCTGCGGAATGTGGTAGTCGCCAAGTGTGTGGTGCAGCATGGTCTTGCGGCTGTAGTGGTGGGTGGCCGGAGCGCCGGTGATCTTGACGATCGGCAGGTCCTCCGCCCACGCGCCCGCGACGCCATTGATGGCCGACAGCTCGCCGACACAGTAAGTGGTGGAGAGGCACCCGATGCCCTTGACGCGCGCATACCCGTCGGCCGCATAGGCAGCGTTGAGCTCATTGCACGTACCTGCCCACATCCACCCATTCATCCGTCCATCCATCCATGTGTGTGTTGAGAGTCCCTCCCTCCGTCACTCACCGACGAATTTGATGTCGGATTGGAGGATTTGGTTGAAGAAGCCGAGGACGAAGTCACCTGGCACCCCGAAGATGTGGTCGACGCCGGCGTCCTTGAGGCGCTTCAGCAGATACACACCCACACACAGATCGGTGGAGCCCATGATGGAACGAACGGTGTGGCAGCTGGCAACGATCTGTCAAGCAAAAGAGAAACAAGGCACCTTGTGCGGGAGTGTGCGTGTGTGTCGATGGGATGGGCTGTTGTGATTGCCTGTCAGTCAGTAAGACACCTGGAGGCACACACTCAAAGGAGCAATTTATCATGCGCATTGTGAGCCGGGCTGCCTCTCTCTGTGTGGCCGTGTGGCTGTCTGTCTCCACCTGCCTACCGGGGCAGATCTCTGTCCTTCAGCAGAGACTGGAGAGAGAGGCAACGGAAACACAGCCTACCGACCACACGCACATGGGACGCACTTTTTCACAGATGGTCAGATCTTCAGCTCTGTCTTGTGTCTGCTTGCTGGGGGAGGATGCTGACCTCTTTTTCTCACGAGACTCCTTCGCGAAAATGCGAGCTAGGACAGAGCTTGAGGCGAGGGTTTAGGGTTTCGGGTCTAGGGTACCGAACCCTTCAGGCGTGAGAGCGGCATTAAGTCAAGCACACCGCAAGCAGGGTGGCATCGCGCAAGAACCGTGCTGGTTCATGTTGAGTCGACGTCAGTCAGGTCAAGGAGCATCGGGTCAGCCGTTTGTCATCGCAACTAGGGAGAATCGTCGTACTATCTTCACGGGTCTGTCTGACTATGTGTATCCGCAAAAAGAAGCTGGTTGGCTGCATGCGAAATGGCTCGTCTTCCTTTCCTTCTTTCCTTTGGAATACAGACAGCACAGCCACCGGACCCACTAGTCAGTCAAAACACGCAATAAACAACACATACCATACAGACACTCACATGTAAAGACGGTGCAGTGCACCCACACACACCCCCACACACGCGGCTCACTGACACACACACAACTAGGCTATGTGGTGCATTTGTCGGGGGCTGTGGGGAGCTCCCCCTCTTGCTTTGCCGACACGCTCTCACCCACATCGATGCCAAGCTTTTCCAACAACTGCAGCCACACACACAGACATCGACACGCACACAGACAGATCCCATTACGAGTGCGTGCGCGTACGGTGGTGGGTTCGCAGAACTGTCCCTCCTGTATCTTCTCGGCCTCTCGGTGGACGACATTGATGGCTGACTCACCTGCAGCACAGCACCCATACACACATTCTCATACCGATACGCGCATGCGTGTGTGCTGGTGGTCCATGAGCCCTCATACCAGGTTCGAGTTCGATGATTCCGCCGCTTTGATACCCATCGCCCTCCAGATTGGCATTCGGGTAGTCCTTCATCAGACCCCTTCCTGCACGCACACATGCACACCACCAACGTCGATGATTTCTGAGGGCGTGTGCCCGTCTTTTTGTGCAGCGACGTACCGATAGAGAAGTTGGTGGATGACATGAAGAACGTCCGAAGGATGTACCAGAACGACCAACGCGGCATCGACAGAGCCTTGAACCTGCACACAACAGACATACGCCACACACATCTGTCCTGTGAGTGTGTCATTGCGCATACATACACACACACACACACATACATTTGTGAGTCGCTGTCAATGTAGATGGGGTGGGTGAATGTCAGCGCATCCTTGAACTTCCTGGCCTGGTCAGGGGTACCACTGCACACACACACACACACACACATCGGTGTTGGTGTGTCCGTCTGCACGCGAATCCATCCACTCACTTGCCCACAGCGACGATGTGGTAGTTGTGTCGTTTGAGCACCTCCTCCTCCCTCAGCACCAACGATGTCTGGTGCTGGCAAAACACACACCCGAACCGCCTGCATGAGTCACATCACACACACGTGTTCATCTTTGCATCAAGCCATGTGTCTGTGAGCTCCTCTTTCATCTGGTGTCATGACCTGACGAGCAGCAGGAGGACTTTCTTGTCTGCCCATATGGTGGTTGCCTCGACGGCACTGCCGCTCTCCAGCTCCATCACCTGCATGCTGCACGCCATTCATTCCATCAACACAGGCAGACAGAGAGACAGACAGATGGGATGACGGGGCGTGGTCTCTCTCTCTGTCAGCCGTCGGAATCATCAGATCTGTCTGTCTTCGTGTCTGTTTGTCCGTGAGCGTGTCCTCTCTTTCACTCACCCCCGGAAGATGCTGCTTCGGAGCGTCATGACTGACTGACTTGCTTCCTCCGCCGAACGAGCCCTTGTCTTAATTCAATTGCTGATCTCGTCACTGACAGATATGCTGCCCTGCTCTGTCCTTCATCCTGCGCTGACGTCTGCGAGCTTAGCCGACCTTCAAGCTCGCAATTGCAGCACCGAGAGGCGAAGAGGCAAAGGAAGGTGTACGTATCTGTTGAGGGTACGTACCAAGATGGATGCAGCTGTTGTGCGGTTTGAGCATCTCGCGGACAAAATCACGACTAAGGTACACACGCTTCACGAGCAAATGGCCCTCTGGCGGGGCGTGGCTGTGCTTCTCGCCTCTCTGCTCGCTGCCGCAGTGCTCCTCTTCTATCACGTGAGTCACCCAGGGAGCACATCAGGAGGCGGCCCTCCTCACTCTTGTTCTGTAACTGACTGGTTTGCAGGTTTATCGGCGGATAAAGATGCGAAGCGCAAAGGCGGCACGCGAGAGGGAGGAGAGAATCGTCGAGTGGCTTCGCATGCACGTACGCACACTCAGAACCACAGACACACACATGTGCATTGCAAGATTCTCTCTCTCTCTCTCTGTGTGTGTGTGTGTGTGTGTGTAGAATGAGCAGTTGGCTCTTGCGCAGGACATCGCTCGAAAGAGAGAGATGGCTGACATCCACGAGCGTCAGGCGGCCACTGATGAAGCCATCAGTGAGCTGCGCGAGCAGCAGGCGGCACTTAGTCTACAGCAGCAGGGGAACAGTGATATAACAACCACCAAGTCGCTCTTCTCGGTGAGCAATACCACCCATGTCTGTCTATGATGGAAGTACGCATGTGTGCACGCGACTGGCCTGTGGTGTGGTTTGGTGTGTGTAGGCTGCTGAGCGGTTTGGGCAGCGGTTGGCGGTGTTTTTGCAGTCATGAGAAGGGAAGGCCTTTTTTCTGCGTGTACACGCAAATAGATAGGTGCATTTTCATGTACAATAGGAACGAAGGACGGACTATGTACGTATGTATGCTCACGCGTGTGAGGATGAGGATTGTCGCGACTTGTCTCTCACGATCGATTGCACAGATGTCAGCTTGTCCATGTGTACTCACTCGTGGTGAGTGCAAGACGTCATGAATGTGAATGTACTCCGCTGACCTCGAGCGGAATACGAAATGCTGTCACGACACAGACATTGGTTGTTCCCATTGCTTCAAGCCTTTTCCGCTTTGAACCTGTGTGCGAAAACACAAAAAACGGACAGACGTTAGTCACTTTTCTTATACGCAGTGGTACATTCATTCAGTGTCAGACTCCCTCATTGTCTGTCCGACCCATGCACTTCACTTCCACTCACACACACACACACACGAAACGAGGAGATGGGGGAGAGAGACAGAGAGAGAGAGAGAGAGGAAGAAAGAAGACAACTATCCGTATTCACCTGACCAGGGGGGGGGTTGGTGAAAAATTCCTGTCTGTCCTTTCTGCAGAAAGACCCATCCACCCTTCCGATCACCGCCACTTCATTGGCACACCACCCGCCCATACATCCGGAAAGGCAAAACCGTCTCTCTCGCTGGAACAGAGACGAGGAAACATACACATCGATCGCGACGGCCACACGACGGCCATACACACGCCCATCTCTGTAAACTGCACACCCTCGTTCTTGCGGCCAGCAATGCTCTGCCAAAAAACCGCCAGCCGCCCCCCCCTGTCTGTGGTGTGCGGTGTGCGTGTGGCTGGCTGGCTGGCTGTCAGCCTGCCTGCCTGCCTATCTGCCCCCCCTCGACCCGTCAGCGTCGGCAGCAGCCGATATATGGCAGAATGTCATCGATCTAATCTACCGTTTGTTCCACCTCTTTGCGTTTTTCTCCTTTGACCTGCCTGATGGCCCCTGTCCGCCGAATGTCCTCTTGCGCTTTATGGTGCGCTCAGCCTCCTCCTTCTTCTGAATGCCGCCACGCTCCAACCTACACAATCGCACACACAGATAGGGAGAGGGATTGGTGCATTGGGACGGATGTCTGCGTGTGTCGCTCTCTCTCTCTGTGTGTGTGGGGGGGGGGGGGGGTGGG